ATTGAAAGAAGAATCACTTGGTAATGGTTAGATGGTCTGATGGGATGATAGGTCTGAACCGTTGTCTTAAATGAATAGTAGTGAAGGTGCTATGGTGTGATGATTTGTGTTGAGGAGTAGAACGGTTTAAGGTGTGATTTGAATGTGACGTAGAGATTGTGAGTTGTTGGTTGTATGTTGTCAAGTAGGTGATGGGATTGTTCGCCAATTGAGGCAATTGTGATCAGCTTAGTCTTTAGAGCCAGTGAGAGTGGTGTTGCCAAGTAGGCATCATTTTTCTTTTAAAGAGTCAGTGGGTTGTTGTGACAAAGGTCACGGGTTTAGTGTGCACAGTGTTTGAGGCAGTGCTGCCTCCAAAGGGTAGAGGTAGAACGGGTGATCATGTGCCATTGTATTTTATAGAGTTTTACATTGGAAGATTATTTGGTAGAGGAACGTAGTGTCCAACGTACAATGATTGGTCCTAGTGTTAGTACGTGTGGGCGTTCGTGCCCTTATCTGATTGGTTTCGGTTAGCATAGTGTTGCGGAGAAGTGTGTGTGAGGGTTCTGTAATTATTGTGTAGGACGCCCATTAGTGGCGAGGTCGCTTAGGTTGATGTTCGTGGTCTCGTATGTGTTTCTAGTTGGTTTTTTTCCTTGAGCGTAGGAAACTCATTCCATCTCAGATGAGATTGGGTGTCCATGGTTGAACGATTGGTGAATAGCGTGTGATAGGGTGTCGAGTGCATTTGGGTTCGAGTTGTCAGTCTTTGTGAGAGTAGAGTTTGTTATCTTTTCCGTTATTCTAATCATGGCAAGGACGTCGTTTGTCGTGAGTCTTGTTCTCCGTTTAGGAGTTATGCGCGTCTGTGGGTGGATGGACCTATATGAGGTTTGTTATGTTGTTAAAGTTCACCGATAAGGTTTGGTTGTATAGGTCGACTCACTTCCACGGGGGGAGGTGGAGTCTTGGGTTTTGTAGTGCTTGTTCTGAGAATGGTTTTGACTAGTGGAATGAGAGGCATGGGTTGCCAAATAGGGATTTTGTTTTCTGTGTATGATACTATCGGTGATGGCTAAAGATGTGTCGTGAACGGCAATTGAGGATGATTAGGTGATGTGATGTGAGTCATGTGTTCGGGTGTTTTTATTGATGTCTGAATTAAGCAGTATCTTGAGGACAAGTGTTGGTATCGTTTGAGTGTTAAACAGCTAGAGAGAGAGAATGTGTGGTTTCACTGAGGAATAATAAGAGTGATTGACTTTAGTTTTGAGGTTTCAGGTATAAGACAGGTGTATTATGTGTTCTAAAAAGATAAGAATTGAATCAAATAATGCTGTGAAGTCGTTTATCTGGTGTGGGTGTTATGAGGAAATTAGAGACTTTTTGTACGGGTTGATGATTGTGACGTTTGGTGTTGTGTTGCTTTTTAGCTTGTTATGATTATGTGATTAAGGCATGGTTGGGATTCTGAGAATAGGTATATGACTATATGGTTGTTGAGGTTACGTAGAGGGATGGATTGTTGGTGAGTGGATCTCATTGTTATTTTGCGGACTGTGTGGGTTTGTGTTTAAGGTTTAAACCTGAGGACAGGAACGATGTCTATGCTGAGATTGGAACGATGATGAGAATGGCCTGGCCAACCATTTCTCCTGAGTCAGTTTATCTTTAGCACGATGTCGGGTCAAAGGTCCACAATTATTTTAGTTTGTCAGAAATAGTGAGAGCACGGAATTACGGATTGTGTCAGTGTGATAGTGTAAATTCAGGTGGTTTGTTTCGGTGACAAGGTGTGTTATGTGAGACCAAGTGTCCAATCCGTTTGATTACTAAGGATTTTGTTTCGAGGATTTGTGTCAAAGGTACAAGATAGTGCGCTTTACTAATTGGGTGACAAATGTTTATGTAGTCGTTAGGAGAATTATTGTTTAGTCATCTTGAGGTCGATAAGTATAGTGATTGTCATATAGTGCAATTAGTAATTATTGGTATGGTTATGTGGTGGTGTAGTTACGTACTAGATAGCAAGTGTTTGGTCTGTCAGGGACGTGTAAATTTGAGTTTGAGATTGATTGAGAAATAGACGGGATTTCTTGTTTGGGGTTTAGTGTGTCCCTTAGAGGATGAGTTGGGTTGGACGTGGTCATGTCCGGTGGTCTGGCGACTATTCATTTCTCGGGCTTTGGAACCTTTCGTGACTGTGTAGAGTAGATTGAAGTCCGTTTTGAGCCAGGCATAAGGTTTAGTTGGTTTTGTGTTGTGATGAGGTGAGATATAGGTACCCACATCGGGTTTTGGTGGCAGTGGCATGTGATTGCCTGGTCACATCCGGTATCTAAGGCAATAATGTTGGTGGGTATGAGTCTTAGGGTTTTGTGAGGTTTCTCGGGGAGGTGTCTGGCTGTGAGCCTTCTTCTTTAAGAAGGGTAGATTTCGAGGATGAAATCTCTTTAAGGAGGGTAGATTGTGATGTTTCCAATTTTCGCCATTTTTTTTTATATTTTATTTTTCTTATTCTTTTGGATTTTTATCGCTACAAGGGCAATTTCGTCTTTTTACATTTTTTGTACCAGACACTGTGGGGTGTACCGGGTGTGTCGGTGAGCTGGTTAGGACATTTCATTGAGTTCCGGACTCTTTGAAATTGAAATGTAAGGGTGATTATTTCTGCATTTTTCTGCTTTTTGGGCCGGACGATCCCGTGTGGGACCCGCTACCAGGATTGTTGTATACGGGTATTTTGATTGGGTCCATTTGCATCATATTTATTTTTAATTATTGTGTTTAAAGTGATTGTAAATTAAATGTATATTTATGAGTGTATAGGGTGAGAATTAAAAAAGAAAAGAAAAAGGGAAAATAAATTAAAAAAAATAGGTGGGACCCACCATTATCTCTCAAAAAGGATTAGAGACCACATTTTAGTCTCATTTTCTCAATTCTCTCTCTCCCTCCCGAAACCTTCTCTCTCACCCTCTCAAAGTTTCTTTTTCTTTTTCTTTTTGCTTTTAAACTTCAAGCTTAGGTTTCTCCTTCAATACTTGGTGTTTTTTAGTGCCATTTGCGGCAAATTGAAGCCCACAACGAGATCTTCGAGTTGATCGGAGCCAATCTTCATTTGGCAACCATTTGGGGAATCTCTAATCCTAGGGTTTGAGGTGAAAATTGGGGCTTTTGGCTTAAATTGAGGTAAGGGTCTCTAATTCGTTTTTTTCTTGTTCCTTTGTGAGTCAATTTCTGTTAATTGTTATTAGTATGATTAATTGACGTTATTAGCATAATTAATTGATGTTAATTACCATAAAATGATTTTATGGTGGTATATAAAGTTCATGATTATGTGTAAATATTGATTTGTATGAAAACCATGTCTAAGTATTGATTTCCTATATTTATTGTGTTGTTAAATTGCTAGAAGTGATGTATGCAAACATGTATGATCATCCTTGAAATTATGATAAAGAATATTTTATTGTATTATATGAAAATCTTGTATTTGTTGATTTACTTGGAAAGTATGCATAATGTGTTAATTTTCTATGCCTATGATGCTTAATAATTTTTTAAAAATTTTATATGGAAGCATGTTAATTGTGTGATAATAATTCTCTCCATTTTCATAGTATTAAAAAGACATGTGATATGCATACAAACATTGGGCATGAAAGAAAAGGGAAAGTATTTTGAAATGAAATTAAAAAGGGGATTTTGGGGAGAAATTTGAGAAAATGATTTTGAGAAAACCCGGTCGCCGCGGAGTCACCAAAGGGCTGGTGTGTTAATATAGCCTAGAGGGAATTAGGAAGATTGCCCTACCGTGGTTGAGCAATCTAGGCCCCAAATGATGCTGCGGAAGTACCAAAGGTCAGGGATAGTAGCCAATCCTTCTCTCGTGTCGCTGCGGAGTCACCAAAGGGCGGGTTATATTAACAGTTTGTGAAATGATGGAAGTTTTCTGAAAAATAGAGAGTGACATGCATGACATTGCATTCATGGCACTGTATTTTTTTGTTTTGGATTTGAAAATGTGTATTGTATTTTTTCCCGGCTTTGTATGACCCCGTTCCCTATTATCCTATTCATTGTTTGGATTCACGGGGCTACAAGAGGTGAGTCTTAGGCACTACCTACTGAGCAATTTGCTCACCCCATTACATTTAACATTTTTCAGGACACGGATGGCAAGTGGCGGACGACGCTCCTCCACAGGGTTCAATGGGTTAGTAGACCGTTTTGACATACTTTGTAACTATAATCTTATTTTATTATCATTATTAATTTATTTATTTATTATTACTTTTTTTTTTATAAACCCGAAATGACACACATACTATGTATTGATGTAGGAAAGAATGGTGTTGTTCCTAGTTGACTTTGGGTTCGGTTAAGAACCCGGCTAACGGTTCGGACCTATGAGTTCGAGTCGTTACACTAGTTTTGAAGAATCAGGTTTCCTGAATATGAACATGCGCGCATTCCTCTACTTAATTATATCTCACCCACCTTTTTTATTTGACAAACAATTACTACCACTGGGGCAAAATAAACATCCCTTTGAATATTCCAACATTCTGAGCTTGATGCATCTATCCGTTAATTATAAGATTAACCAATAGAAACAAAATTTACATTGTAAGTATTACAATTTATAGACAATTTTCTGTAACTCTCTACAATACTTTTTGACTTTCCAATTTCATAGGTACATTCATAATGCATATATTTCATTTTTTTTTATGAATATATAAAGAGCATTATATATGTATATTTTCTTCAAGAATGTCATTTTGGCGACCGTCCATCAAACATTCAAACCCCCTGTTCACCTATCTAGTTTATTTGAGACGTTAGCAATGTCTGGATTGTCTATATCCTGTATATGTGTCCATATGCATGGTTCAGCCATAGGGGTTTGTACGGTAGGATGTGCAAGTACAAATAAATCCTCGTGCACATATTTATTCCAGATTTCACACACACACACACACACACACGGACTATTGGCTTTCTAGTACTAACATTGCGTCTGCAATCTTGTTTGAGCCACCACGTTCTCGCTCCGCAGGAGATACAACTACGCAAGTTGCACCTGCATCGATCATCAAACCCAAGCTTATAAAATCAGTTAACTAAAATACAAAAACCTCTTCAACTTTAATCAACCTAAGGAATTACCAATTGCTGAATTTGCAACTTTTCCGCCATGTTTCTCAATTTTGGACTTCCAATCTTGCTGCATAGAACATCAGATGAATATAAATTAAACAAGGCTCGAAAATTAATGAATGTCATTCCAGCATGACTGAAACTGTTTGATGGTAACAAAACCGTGTCATACATGTGTTCTTGAAAGGCGACCCGATAGAACAATTGTCATTCCTGCAAATGGTTTGTAGGGGGGGCATAAGCCCCTTTGTGGGCGATGCTTCAGTTCTTCGTGGCTCTTTAGCAACTACACGAAAGCCCGTAAAAAAATGACAATAATGTTAATTAATACAGATACCAGCAAAAGGTTTTAATGTTTACAAATATATAAAATTCATACGGTTCAATTGTACAGGACACAAAATGAACAGAGAATATTACATCGAAAACAGCAGATTTTGGAACGGAATCGGGTAGTTTGACCCTTTCATTTTTACTTGGAGGATCCCTCATGGAGAAGATGCAAGTAGACCACTCACTCTATGCTCCTTTGCATGAATACCTAGTGCCATCACAATCCAAAGTGCCACCGCAAACCGGACAGTTGTCTAGCGGCCCATACAACAGCATGTCCAGACTGTAAAAGCATAATATTCAATGTGCATTGTAAATCATGAAGCCCATGCAATCATGTATTAAAAAATAAATAAAAAGGAAATGTAGTCCCTAAATTTTTAGGTCATTGTTCCCAAAAAAAAAAATGCACAATTGCATGGTGCTCAAAGTATATATGTGCATTCAAGTTTTAAATGTACTATAAGTTAACAGAAACAAATCAAAATGGGGGAGCACACTTTTTTCCGATGCTCATGAACTTCACTGCTTCAAATATAGAACTTTAAATGGTGAATTCCACCACTTTGGTGAAATTCTCCACTCAAGTAGTGAAATTTACCGCAGAGTATCCCGAGAAAAGTAGTACCGTGCAGTGATTTTCAAACCACCCAAACATCTTTAAGATGCTAGACATGCATGATATATTTACATACAAGTACTTGCTTATATTTGTTTTTTTTTTCCATATATTTGTTTTTCTTGACACAATGATTATTAATACTATCTTTGCTCAGTAGCAGTTCAGTTTACACCAATAGTCCCCCAATTATCTATCAAATGTATCTGATCTAATGTATGTTCTCTGTGCTTTCATTCTCTTTGATAGTTGCACCAATGGTCGTGTATTGCCTTTATGGTTGCAGTACCATAGATGGCTATATAAATTAACTCAAACATGGGATCTATGACTAATGTACACACATCAATAATTTTATATTTTTATTTTTTTCTTGAGATACATATCACAAATATTTAAAATATATGAATCCCTTTTTAATCTGTCACACTACAAATTTTATGGATTGAAAAAATACTTTCACACACTAGAATATCGTGAAATTTCATTTGAGTTCTAACGTGTATCCTCATCCTGAGTGAACACCGGGGACCCTAACCCTCCCAATGGACCCAAGTTGTAGCGGTTCAAGATTACGGGCCACTTAAACTCAAAGTACATAGATCAAATGGTGAACACTTCAAAATCATGTAAAAAAAACTGATATATTTGCTGCACAGTGATTTTCATGTCAAAATGCCCATATGTTGAAACAGCAAGCAAGACATACATGATCATACATTTTAATTAATGCAAGTACTTGGTTATACATGATAGGGCTATGCAACTAATTAAGCTAGCCACTCTCGTCTCAATTAATATAGTGGGATTAACTTACCATCTACGGACAACAGCAGCATCGGATCCAGAACTATCCTGTCGGTTGGCTTCCAGAATCTGGCGCATCTGTTGGATTGAGAGGAGTTCTCTTGCAGCTTTACAGAACTTATCGAACTCCGGATCAGCAATGTCAGTTGATGATTTTCCATCACAACCATGACTACCATTGTCGCTTTCGGCCTTTGATTTCTTGGGCGACTGCCCGGCTAATTCATGTACCTTGCTCTCAGCTGCCTTCTGCTTCCTTGTCACCATTCTTTCCTCATCCCTCATCAGCAGATGAGTGAGCATGTGACCTTGTTTCATGAACCTCCACATTTTACAGTACCAACACACTAGGGACCGAAATTCTGTCCGGCGCAACAGGACATATGCCCTAGCCCGTGAATAAATTAGAAAAGTAAAAATATATGAGGTAAAAAATTAAAAAGAAAAACTTTTGTATACACACATATATATATATATATATATATATATATATATATATATATATGTTGGGATTTGTATGCCCTAACATAGCGAATTCCTATTTAGATTTAAGAAACATATGTTCCTGACAATCTAAAATATTTATGATTTATATAATTGGTGAATTTAATATATTATGTTTCGATAGTGTCCACTTGATTATAAGACATATTTATATATGTATGCGATGGCGATCAATACATGAATATAAATAGTAATCATAAATTGTTCATAGTCGGTAATTATGGATGGACTCATAATTAATTAAGACTTGAACTGGATCCGCGCTAGGTTGAGATATATTGCGAGACCCGTCGTATGCAATTGCTCCCTATCACTGTAATGGTATTTTACTCTTAAGCATGAGAGAAGTATAGACTCTTTTATTAATTAGTAATTATTTTGATTTGTTCGGCGAAATCTTCGGAATCCTTAGACCGGCACTTTGGGTAATTATGTAATTAATAGTTAGAGGGTAATATTCTCAATATTTGTATTAATGCTACTTGTATTTATTTTGTTTTGATTATGGTTGATTACAAATTAAATTCGAAGGCCTTCGTATGTTTTTAAACAAAATGATTTATTATATATTTATTTATTCAAATTATTATTTTTGTCAAACAAATGTTTTATTGTAATTGAGCCAGAAATAATCAAAGGTACCAAAATAAATATATTAATTAAGTAGTCGGATTGATGGCTTTATTTATCCTATAATTAATTATGCATAGAGGGGTCAAAGTGCAACATTGACTTAGAGGTTATTTATTATTTAATTGGAGTTCAATTAATTTCTTTTACTGGTGTAGAAATTAATTTATAAATTAATTGAATTGGGTCCATGGACCGAGCCAATTATTAATTCATTGTTACCAATAAAATAATAAGCCCAAAAGATTCTTACTCATAGCCCAACTTGATATTGAATCCTATTAGATTTGAGACATGAGAATTAGAGATTGAGAAGGATTTATTGTTTCATTTTCCTTATCTTTATGTTACCTATATATATAGATGGTCTATGTATATTTTAGGGGAGATTTTTGGTAGAAGGAAAAATGAATATATATTTTATTTCTTTAGAAAATTAGGGTTCAGGTTCTTATCTAATTTAGGCTACCACAAGCCTAGTTTTCTAAGGTCATTCATGAAGGCTTATGAGTGATTTCTAAAAGTAAAACTATTACCAAAAAGATGGAGATCAATAGAGATGGCATCTAGCAAAGGGATCTACAATAAGTGAGAACATTCACTTTAGAGGAGAGATCTAAGGTTTACTTAAACCTTTGATGTAAGTATTCAATTTATTAATTGAATGATACATCATATTTTATTTTTATATAAAACTTGTCTCTATGTGATGAATCAACATCTGTGAATGAAAATCACTCGAAAAGTTTTTAAAACTACCACGTTTCCCAATAGTGGTATCAGAGCATGGTTTGATTCATTACTAGAGATCATGATTTTATGAAAATCATCATTCATGGATCCAAAATTATATTCATATATATTTTTATTGATATATGTTGATATATATTGATACATGATGATATATATATAATTGTGAATAAATGATGATGTATGGTTCCTCGATGATACGGATATATATTTATACTTAACTTGATGTCAAGGTTGTAGCTAAGTTAGTGGGAGTATTACATCTAAAATTAAAGAGTATGAGGATATTAGTATTAGAGAACTATCTTTATTCGCAGATATTAGACGCAATCTAATTCTTGTTTCACTTTTAGTTCATAAAAGCTGTATTGTTATTTTATAAAATTGGTTTTATAAAATTGAATAGATGTGCGATTACTTTTAGTGCATTGAAAGATGGTTGATATACTATAACCACAAGCTCTTAATATTTGCAGGATGTAAAAACTAATGTTGCATCTTCTAGATTGAATGTTAAGAGAAAATTTGTTATTCCTGACTCATTGTATTTTTAGTGTCTATTTTTGGGTTGTAATCAGTCAAAATGAGATTCAAAGATTGGTCAAAGAAGGTTTATAACCTAGTGAGGCAGGGGAGCCTAAACCAAACTTGTGAATCCTGTTTTGAAGGATAGATAACCCTAAGGGTTTAATCAGCCAATGAAATAGACATAAAGAACAATTGGGGTCGATACACACTGACACGTGTGGTCTTATGAACATCCAAGCAAGATTACTCATGTTTTGGATAAATTTATCTGATGCAACACAAGTCTTAAACTTTTGGTATATTCTGAAAGTGTCAAGGCTGATGTGGAGCACATATTAGATAAACTTATCAAAACACTTCGATCTGATCGTGGATATGAGTATTTTTTAGGATAGTGCAAAGACTATATGGTTAATGAGGGTGTTGTGTACCAGTTTTTCGCAATTGACGCTCAATGAATTGAGGTGTCAAAAAGGAATAATAGAATTCTGCTTAACATGGTTAGATCTTTGATCAGGTATGCTACATTATCTATTTCATTTTAGAGTTTAGCCTTAATAATATTGATGCACATTATGAATTGCATTTCATCTTAGTCTGTCTCAGGGATATCTTTTGAGCTGTGTTTTTGACTAAATCTTAGTTTGAATCATATGCACATATGGGGTAGTCTTGCACATGTGCGCTTGATATGGACAAGTAAGTTGGAAGCAGATCATATGCATGATAGATTTGATAGCTACTCTAAAGGCACTAGGATGGATTATTTTATGATCTCAATGGTAAAAGTTGATTGTTTACACTCACTGTTTATCTATAGGAGGATTATATTATGAATCACATACCTAGTAGCATAATGTTAGAGAATATGGTACGAGTACCAAATGTACCACATATGAACACACTTATTATAGAGATTAAGAATTATATATGAATTCCCTATTGATGCGTCAGCATCATCTAGTACACAACATCGGTACATTGTTGTAGTGGGAGGATTATCATCCAATCTGACAGAATCAAGTTTTTAGGTGAGACTTTTACGGACATCGTTGTTAAACATAAGTTAGACCCGGCTACAGGGAAGCGTGAACCGATATGGATATAGATCGTTTTGGCAAGTTGCTATGAAATCAGAGTTGGAATCTAAGTATTCTAATAAAATCTAGGATCTTGTAGAACTTTCTAATAGGGTGATACCTATGGAAGACAAGTTAATCTACAAAAGGATACCAGAAGATTTCTTAGTGAATAAATCATGAGTGTACAAGAGAATGTCATTATTTTTCTAACTCTCTATATATTGATGACATCCTATTCATTTAGAATATTATGGAAAGTTTTGTCATCAGTAAAAAGGTAGTTGTTCAATTATTTTGAAATGAAGGATTTTCAAGATGTAAGCTATATTCCTAAGATCAAGCTTTTGCAAGATCAGGTTAAAAGAAAAATAAGCTTATCTTAATAATCCTATATTGATAAAGTTTTGACCAGATTTGGTATGCAAAACTCAAAGAATGAGTTCTTGCGTTATTGCTATGGATTGCTCTCTCTAGTAAATAGTTTCCAAGACTAGCAGAGGAGATTGAGCAAATGAGACTGGAACTATATGCTTTGGCATATGGGAGTCTCATATATGCTATGGTCTATACCAAAAAGGACATCCACTACATGGTAGGGATAGTCAGTAGATATCAGTCTGAACTCAGACTTGATAACTGGTCTATTGTGAAAAATATCATAAAGTACCTTATGAGTACCAATGATCTCATACTCATTTATAGATGTGAAGATATGGTTCCAGTCAAGTTTATTGATTGATTTTAAATCAGATGTAGATACTATGAGGTTCATGACTTAGTGTATGTTCACTTAATGGAAGGGAAATCAGTTGGTAGATTATTAAGTAGATTTCAACTGCTGACTCAAACCTAAAAGTGGAGTACGTTGTAGCCTGAAAGGCAGCAAAGGAAGCCTTTTGGTTTGATCTCACTGATTTAGAGGTTGTAGAGAATACTAGCCTACCCATCAAGCTATATTGCGACAATAGTGCAGAAGTAGTCCAAACCAATGACCCAAGGTTCCATAGAGGAACAAGGTACATATAACGACTTGAATCCGTGGATCCGGACCTTTTCCTGGGTCCTTACTCGAACTCGAGGTCATCAACGTCAAACCTAACATTTTAAATGTCAAAACATGGTCTTAAAGGTCAACACTAGGCTCTTACAAGGTATCTAAATGAATCCCAAGGGTCAAGAGTGGATTACAAAGGGAGAAGGAACAAAGAAGGCCAAACAGGTACACTTCGGTCGACCGAAGTGGAGTTTCGGTCGGCCGAAATAGACCTCTAAGAAGCGGTCGACCAATATTCTGCTTCGGTCAACCGAAGCTGAGATGCAGAGAGCAAGAGGTTGGTTCAGTTGACCGAACCCTATTTCGGTCGACCAAAACAGGAGATCCCAAAAGCTGCAAGAGAATCGGTCGACCGATGCACCATTTCGGTCGACCGAAATGGCTCTGCCGAGCCTCAAACCTGCTACTGAGAAGCTGCACTTGTGGGACTGAAGAGAAAACTGAAATGGGGCTTTGCAATGGTTCATACTCGAACTAAATCATTAAAATGAGACATTCTACTATCATGAACATGAGTACTATCATACAATCATCTTACAAGATCATTTATTACAATTATATGACATTAAACATAATGCTTACATTAGTTCCATTTACATCAAACAAAAGCTAAGTGTCATACTTGAGCTACAAGGCCATGAATAATAACATTTGTTACATTTCCAAAACAATAGACATACAAAAGAATGGCCTAAGTACAAAATAGTAAAATGGTCTTCTAACAACTTTCAAGCTTGCGGTGGATTATCATCCGCCAATTCCTTTCCATGACCT